TTTTTCAAATGGGGTGTAAATGATCGTTGGACGATGAACGAAAAAATAAAAAATATACAGACTATCTATCGATTTTCACAAAACACAGTGAATAATAAGCTTCAGGCAGAAAAGCAAATGAAAAAACATGTTGCACCAATATATAACAGTTTTCCACATCCCTTCTATTGTAAAGGAGGGGATATTGATTTCGTTCTTTTATCCAGCTATAACCTCGCATTTGATACCCAAATGGATCAGAACAAAAATTGTATACAACCTATGAAACAAGAAAATTCATTATTGTTAGTGATTGTCTTCTGTTACTTTTTACTTTGCATCTTTCCTGTTTGCGTGGAAAGGTCCATTTCAATATGAGGATGAGACAGTTCATCCAAAAATGATTCAACATAAAATCTTGCGGAATTATGACAAAAAACGGAAAACGAACTGATTGTAAATGGCTGTTAACTTTGGTTTTAGTTCCGTAAAATTATTTGCATAAACAACATTTCCAAACCTGTTAGATTGTCTATTTTAAGAACACAAATACAACAGATTATTTTGAGATTTTTATTCAACGCAAAGGACGATTAGTTATCATTTCTGTTTATGTTTAAATATGATATAGTAATGCACATAATTTGAGGAAAATGCTACTGCGCAAATATTTCAATTAACATTTCAGGTGGTCCATAAACCAACAACTTAAAAACTTTTTCTTACTTGCATTTAATCCTTATGTTCAATTTCTAGCAATGACAGACATGTTAGGGGTATGATCGTCGAACACATATTTTATAGTTCATACTCTGAGGATCATTGTTGACAAGTTTGGTTTCAATTAGCTTATATTAAGTAGGAGGACAACTTTTAACAAGTTCAGAGACACCAACCTACAATGGATGCTAAGTGACAGCAATAGTTTGTACTGGCTCTTTGGGTCAGATGAGATAAAAATGAGAAAAAAATTACCAGATCTCACTTAACATATACCTGTTCCCCAATTTGTATACCTATGACAAAGTTCATAATGGAAAAATACATTCTGCAGATAACAATGGACAGTGTACATTTTATTTTGGATCACATTTTATGGTTATTATCCCCGAAATAAAAGAAAATATTTCAGCATAAACAGAGGTGCTTTTATAGTGTACATTTTAGCAATACTAACTTGTTGCATAACTGATTTCAACATAATTTGTCTGTTCATTTGGTCTACTGTTTGTATCCACAGAGATAATTTTAATTATGTACAAGCTACCAGGAGTCAATCCTGTAATATTAGCTGTTGATTCCTTGTTGAGAGACATTACAGTTCCTGAGCCTACTTGATATCGGAATTCTTCTATTGCACCTGTTGCTGCTGGGGCTGTCCACTCTATTTTTAAAAAGGTTTCTGATCTTGTAATTAGAGCTGGATTCAAAACTTTTAGCTCGATTACTGTAATGTTTAAGAAAATGTACAAAAGAGTACTATATAATGACACATTTTTGTCATATCTTACAATACTGTTTCAGAAATTGTATTAATAAACCCTTTCAACAAACTAATCGAAGTTCATTTTCTGGGAGTTGTTTAAAAGTTCTGGTTATTTAATTTGGCACTCAAGATATAAAAGCCACCTTTTCATCTCTTTAATTTGAAAATCTAAAAGTATCATAAATCCATCAAATAATATGCTAAAATTGTTCAGGTTACTTTCATCCTTTGATTCAATCAAATATCAGTAATTACATATATTAATTGTGCATAACATATCTGGTTTAAGAGCGTCAATTTGAATTTGTATATTATGGAAAATATTTTTTTTTCAATTTTTCTTTGAATCATTGATCTCACCACCATAACCCAAATGACGTAGAAGTTAACAACTATAGGTCACCGTACTTGACTTAGGGTCTTTATAAGTTTACCCTACTTCTGTCTTTTTGTCAACACATTTTACAGAGAAATATTGTTGACAATATTCAGGTTATCAGTGGTAAAATTCAATAATAATTCATTCAACCCATAGATTTGTTGGAAATATTCACAAGGCCTGGGCTGTTATATTTTCAAATTTTATACCGAGCGTTAGTGATATAACGCCCCTAGTACATGTGCAAATGACAACAATTCTATGACTTGCATGAATTATGTCAATTCTAAAAGGACAAATAATGTAATTTAAAGAACTGAAGATAAGATGAATGTGTTTGTGTCTATAGGTAATTTTCACCCTTTTATTCAAAGCTAAAAATGTCCAATAAATCTATGGCTTCCATCAATTATTTTCAAATAGCCTCTAGACAAAATGTGGTTACTCCTTATACTTCCCAACCCAAACATTTTGTTTTCATTAGCTGCTTTTTTTCTCGGTTAATCCACAATTGACATGTTGTAACTAAGGAGTTAGCCAGCATCTTAACTTGCTGAAATCCATAAATGTTCAAACAAGAGGCTGTCAGAGTGACAGCAAACCGGATTTTCCTGCAGAGGTCGAACCATGAACAGTTGAGCAAGTATGGACCCTACATTTAAGCTTAAAACTGCTCTGAATTTGGATTGTGGTTGAATATTTGACACAGCATAGGATTGTGACACAAAATGAATGTGGTCAAGGAACTGAAATATTTGAAATTGGACATTTCCCTGTTATGGTCCAATATCCAAAATCTAAGTACATTGTCAGAATCAGCATATCAAAGAACTCCAAAAATTCAATTTTTGATGAAATCAAACAGAGGATTAATTTATGACCCTTTAGAGCACAATGTGGACCAATTTGATAAAGGAGCTCACAATCCAAAATCTCTCAATACATGGTAAGATTCAGCATTTCAAGGAACCACATAAATTCATTTTTTTGTGAATCAAACAAAGTTTAATTTTTGGACCCTGATTTGGACCAACTTGAAAACTGGGCCCAAAAATCTAATATTTAAATACAGGTTTAGATTCAGCATTTGAAAGAACCCTATATATATTTAATTTAAGTTGAAATGAAACACAATTCAATTTTATCCATATATTTTCTGTGCAAAGGGAAATAACTCAAACTGTATAAATAGATATGATTATAATCAATAAACCAGTGAAGTGATGACTAAGTTCTTTAAAATTAGATATGATGTAACACTCAAACATCGTTAAAATCAGCATATCAAAGAACCCAAGAATTCAATGGTTGATTAAACAAAAGTTTAATTTAGGACCCTTTGTACCTCGATGTGGTATTATCTAACTTATAATGAAAATAAATACAGGTTTAGATTCAATATTTCAAAGAACCCTATATATATTCAATTTATGTTGAAATCAAACACAGTTTAATTTTGGACCCCGATTTGGACCAACTTTAAAACTGGGCCCAAAATCAGAAATCTAAATATATGTTTATTAATAGACAATATGAGCTAAGTTTTGAAAGGAGTTCACCTTATCAAAAAAATGTATATCTAATTCAGAAAATTAGTTTTTACAGAATAACAAACAATTTGCCATTTACCAAAGAAAAGAAAAAAAAATCAAAAAATTTATTTTTCATTAATACAATGTCTTTTAAAAATCTATAAAACTTATCTGTAATTTTCTTCAAAATGTCTAATAATGAACAGTAAATTTCTAACTATATTTACTTCTAAATAGCTTTTAATCATCAACGCTTAAAAAACAGAAAATTTTCAAATAATCTGTCACTCAAGATAAGACTTTAACCATATGTTTAGTAAACTGATAACAGGACATATAAACAGGTGAAAATTATCTATAAAGGCTTTGTGTAATCAAACTTTATGTATAACATTAACAATTTCTGTTCAAAGGAAAAAACTCAATCACAAAAAATACCACTTATGGATATTAAAAAGGGCGATAACTCACAAACGAGAAAAGCTAAAATCGTGAAAATTGAACCTGACCTTTATTTAGTCGCAGGAAACAACATATCTAAATTTGAAAATAAATGTGTCAAAGGGTTTTCATGTTATTGAAGAGACACTGGTTGACAGCCGCCAGTCCGCCCGCCCACCCGCCGTAAATCCCCAAATCAATAATCGATTTTTACTTCGAAAATCCGGTTAAAAATGCAATACAATAGAAAATAAAACAAAACCTACTTGCAAACTCCATTTTGATGTGATTTTATCCAAAAATGGAGCATACATGTAATGGAATAAACTCCAGCTTGAGTTTTTTTTTCTTTTGTGTGATGTCATATTTTGACATGTACCTGTAGTTAATGAGCCAAGATCATTCGTGGAATTTTATTTTAATTTCATTTTATACATTTTTTCATGCTCTAACATTGTCTTATGCATTAATTAATTCTTGCTTTTATCCATTAGAATAGAAACAAAGGGTCTGTAGTTTTAATTTCAATTTCAATTTTAACAAAGCGAAATCAACATTATAATCATTATCAAGTGCGTAAGAGACAAAGGCTCCGTTTTGCTTTCGGACACAAAATTACATACTGCTGATTTTTTATTGTAACATCTTTGAAAGCGTAGAAATTACCTATTTGAGTGTAGAGCACAATTTGAGTGCCAAAAATTGTAGAGGTAAACAGGTCTGGATCTGGGGGAATTCTTCCCAATTTTGAAAGACTAGTTAAAATTTGGAAAGGCAAGTGAATTTAAAAAAGTATTAGCTTACTTGGCCAGTTAAAATAATTTTGTTCTATCCCTGTTAACTTGCTCTTCCTTAGGTTATTATTTCATGAAAACACTTAAAGATTTACTTGAAAAGGTTCCAGTTATCATCTGAAAAGATCTTTTGCACAAATTAAGAGAAATTTAAGTTACTTTGACATTGACCTTCCTTGTATTGACCTCAATTTTTCTATCTTCACAAGAAACCATTCACATAATTTTATAAGGCTTGCATAATTTTACTTTTTTCACAATTTTGTGCAATGTCAGGGCAAAATAATGGCTCTTATCATACCTCTTCCTTTGTTTTAAATTCCAAGCCAGTTTCTTAAATTATCAAGTATTTAGTGTACCTTACATCTACTCGGTAAGAATGCTTTTAATCATTTTATATTATTATTTCCCCTATACTTACACTGTTTGCAAATTCCTCCAAGATTATTGTTGTTGTTATCATAGAACATTTTTTTACAATAACATACAGAATTTTCTGACAATAATCCACATTCAGAGTTAATATCATTACATTGTACACTGTCAGTACATGCTTCTCCCAAATTCTTTTCTATAAAAAAAAACCAGTCTATAACATTTCATATAAACATAACTATTAAAACTTATACAATATGAATAATATTGATACGTAACATTTAGTAAACAGTAATATACTTTATCTTACCTCATTTCTAGGAATATGATTGGTTAAAAGCAACCGCGTGAAGACCATGTATATTTCATATGGGGTTAGTAGGCATGGTTTATTTCAATACACGGTTAGTAGTGGTGTTACGTCCCTTTGTAAAAACAACACAGTGTTGAGAAAAAATCTGAAAGGTTTCAACAGACGAAAAAATTGATGATGAACGATTAAAATAAATTCATAAAACACATTTAAAGCTTACAAGTTGTTATTGTTGGCATTTGTTTTTGTATAGACCAATGTAATTAGGTTCTTTATATTGAAAACTTGGTAACTTTGATAGGCCACTAGTCTAAATACTACATGTTAAGATAGTTGGTAAGATCAATTTGTTACACAGTGTGCTAGTGACCTAATAAGATATATCGCTCTCACCCCATATGGAATTTACTGACCCCATATATATTGTATTAGGTCACTAGCACACTACATAACTAATAATCTGTCATTATATGTAATTTTTAGCTTTAGCTTTAAGGTCTTAATATGAGTCAACAGATGATAAATGGGAGTATTTAACATGCATAATGCATAATGATCCATTTATCACATATTTTACCCTAAAAAATTGGAAAGAGAAAATAGAACAAAATACACTACCGCTCAACTTAATTATGTCATTTCCATCCGCCCACAGTGAGAGTTTGCCATAAGGGGGCAAAACGTCTATATGGTCCCCATTCTTTGAAGTTAATTGTCAAACGTTCAAACCGTTGAATACTAGTCAGAGGTCTAAAGTGTTTCACTCCTCCAAAATTACACTACATAATTCATGTAAAAACTAATGATTTGTTGTCAAAAAATTATTTGAGGTTCAGTTAAAACCAGAAGCTCTTAAGATCCGGTGTCGCTCACCTAGGTCTATGTGCATCTTCAACAATTGATTCTCTCCAATATTGTGGATATAATAGAATTCATGACAAAATTTTCTTATTTGTTGATCATGTATTGCTGATCATTTTTTGTTTACAGTTTCTCTCCATAGTTTTAAGTTTTTGTCTAAAACACAAAAAGAGAAAAAATGTAATCTAAGGACAGTCACTCCTATAAATAGTCTACTAACAATTTCTGCAAAATTTTATTTTATTTGTAGATCTAGTCTTGCTGATCAGTTTTGCTAACTATCTTTTATAATTTTCAAGATAACAGGCACAAACCTATAATATTGGTAAACATCGTAATTAAAGAGAAAGAACTTTAATGAGGAGTCGACTGACGATTTTTGCTATATAGCCTTATTTGTAGATCTTGTCTTGCTTATCATTTTTGCCATTTGAAGTGGCTATCTATCTATACTAGCTTTCAAGATAATAAGCAGACCACTAAAATTGGTAAAAATTGTCATTAAAGAGCAATAACTCCAATAGGGAGTGACCTCATGATTTAGGCCATTAGACTTATTTGTAGATTGTGTCTTGCTGATCACTTTTACTTATTTAGATTATTCAAATTTATATCTATTTATAATAGTTTTCAAGATAAAAGGCAGACCACTTTAATGGGTAAACATCGTCACTTAAGAGCAAAAACTCCAATCAGGTGTCAACGGATGATTTCTACTAGATTGACTTATTTTTAGATCCAGTCTTGCTGTTCATGTTTGCTATTTACAGTGGCTATATATCTTTAATACTTTTCAGGATAATAGGCAGACCACAGAAAGATGGGTTAAAATCATTATCAAAGAGTAATAACTCCAATAAGGAATGAAATCACGATTCCAGCCAGAAGTCTTATTTGTAGGTCTTGTCTTACTTTTCACTTTTGCTCATTTAAGTTTATATCTATCTATTCTAGTTTTTCAAATATTAAAAATGCAAAAAATTAGTAACAATTGTCATGAAAGGGTTACAATTCTAAGGGTTTGTCAGACAATTTTAATCACGTTATTTGTAATTCTTGTCTTGCTAATCAATTTTGTTTATCTAAGTTTCTATCTATCTAGATATCAGGCAAAAACGCAAAAAAAATGTTAAAATCCTCATTAAAAGGCAATATATCCAATAAGAGGTAAACTTATATGTAGATTTTGTTTATTTAAGCTTCTATCTATTTATCATAGTTTGACAGATATTGGGCAAAAATGGAAAAAAAATGAACTTGTCATTTAAGGGCAATAACTCATTTAAGAAGTTGTCTGATAGTCAAAATGTAAATGAACAATAGGTAGATCTAAACATTTTGAACATGTCTGCCGCTTTCAGATTTTTATATGTATATCGGTTTTCAAGATAACAATGGAAATCAATGGACGTCAAGTGTTGCGAAAAGTTCACTTGGACCTCTGGGCCAAATGAGCTAAAAACAATTTCCTGCTTAAGTCATAAATGTGTTCAGTTTTTCTATGGTTATTATGAAATATTATTATGAAATGTCATTACTGAGAAATCATGATTGAAATATAAATATTGAATTTTGATTCCTTTACTAGATACTCATATATATTTTTCAATCAGAAATTCAGATTTGCCTTTATTCAAATAGTGATTTTTTTAAAGTATAATTTAAACAAATGTTTCATAATTACTGCAGCTATTTCTGGTTCAAATGGTAAATATTTAGAAATAACTTCTGGACAATTTTTCTTAAATGTGTTTTTATATGAAATATATTGAGGAATTTTCACATTGTGCAACACCTTTGATCTCTAACTGTATATAATACACATTCAATATAAATTCACTAATTAAGTTAAGTCAAACTTTCAGCATCTACATGTCAGATTTACTTTCATTTCGTTTCACTCACTTGCTCAAGCAAGCATATATTACTATATCTAAATGTTCATATTCAATAACTTATTATCAAATAAATAGATTGATGTTGTTACCATTTTTATGTTTCCTGATGGATGACTCCTGTAACTTACCTACTAAATAACAACAAAAGCATGCACTTACCGAGAATTTAATTCAGGCCAGTGAATGGTCGCAAGCAATTTTAAAAAATGTTGTAGTAACACGCAGACCGTTCATTATTATAGTATGATAATAATTGCCTTCAATATTAATAAATATATGAATATGAAAATGATATACATGTATTTGTGAAAACATCAAGAAAACATAAAACATGACTAAAAAAGCAAACATCAAATGATAACACTAGTTTAAGGCTTTTGTTATCACCCATTTGTTTGTTAATATGGAGGTAACAATTGACTTCTGTTTTTTTTTCTTTCAGAAATTAGATAACATGACATTTAGAAATCAGAAATCTTTAGTAACAAAATATTAACTGAAATGCACTAAGCATCATTTGGTTAAGTTTATTCGCCTCAGTGAGACAGAAAAGGCTCATCAGTCTTCGATATGTACAATCTTAAACATTACTGTTGAAGTTTGAAAAAGATCATGAGAAAATCATTCAATATTATATCAAGAATAACAGTCTTTTCTTTATTTGAATAAAATATGTCTACAAGTATCCTTGTTTTTAAAAATGTAGCTTTTGAATCACCCCATGTCAATAAAAACATAAAACTATAACATTTTAAGTTTTTGCATACTTTTCAAAAATATTCTCATCATTTATAAATAAGATTAAAAATATTTGGCGCTGTGAAACCATATTACAACAGCTAGCACATTCATTTAACATTTTTAACCCAGAATCTATGGTATGTAGCTATCCTTACAAAAAGAAAGTGTATTCAATAATTTTTTTTTATCTTACTCAGAGCACAGTTAGTACCATCATCATAATGTGTGGTTGGACATTGACATGTCTGTGTACCAGTACCAGCACATATAGAATCTGTAGCAGTACATTGTGCAACATTTGTACATGTATCTCCTAAAGCTCTCTCTGAAAATAATCAAAGGATAAATGTTTTATAGAATAATCTATAAGACAACATTATGTCGGTTTTCAATAGTAACACCATAAACAATGTACTGACACAATTTGTACCATCATGAACATGTGTGTTAGAACACTGACGTGTTTACCAGAAACAATCTACACATAATTGTCAGAATTACCATATATTGTACATGTACAAGATTTATACATATTTCTCCAAGTGCTATTTCTTAAAATGATTTTTCAATTTGAATACTTATACAACATCAGGACAAAATATCAATGTTTATAATATATATCCTGATTTCAAATGGTAATTAGAGTAGGGTAGGAAATAAAAAAATCTGCAAAGTTGAACTTGACTTTTGCACAGAACTTTGACTTTTTACCTCGCCAAAGATACACATATCAACAAACGTTTAAGTTAACTTTGTATACAGACATTCACTAATACGTCGGCAAATTTATATCTGTACATGGAAATGTCTACAGAACTTGTAGACAAACATGTTGCAGACCTGATATAGTGGACAAGAAATTCTTGCATTCATATTGTTTGAATGCTGAACATATTTTAAAGGATTTGCACTAAGAAAAATGATGTCATCAGTGTTTTGACAGCCGTTTCTTGGAAGGGAATAAAATATGAGGAGGAAGGGAGGTCTTTTACCCTTACATGAAAATCAAATAAGCTTACAGTAGAAATATAAACACTATAGGGACTAAAAAACAACCAAAAAACAAAAAAACAGTAAGACTGAGCAACATGACATGAGACATGTACAAGGAAGTCATAGGACATGAAATAGGAAGTCTGAGGACCTGTTCAAGGACATCTGGGCTATGTTTTAGGACGTCCAACGACATGTACGAGGAAGTCCTATGCCATGTAATAGGAAGTCCTAGAATATGTAATTGGAAGTCCTAGGACATGGAATATGAATTTCTTTCTATCTATTTTAGTTTTCAATATAAAAAGCAAAAGCGCAGAAAAATTGGTAAAAATCTTCATTTAACAGTATGGCCACTAAAAATTAATTGATAGATTTTAATCCCTGCCCACCCCTTTGAAATCGTCCCGCCCTGATTTAAATTTTGTTTTCAGATATTCGATACGGAATTTGGTCATTTAAATTACGGGAAACATGGTAATTACATTTCATACAAAACTTCCTATTGTAAAATTAACACGGTTTTCGTATTTTTTTTAAGTAAACTTAGTTATTAAATAATAAAATAGAATAATTTAATCGAAATATTCTGCTGCTCTATGATGGCCGCATTACATTGTGTGTAGGAAATATTGATTACTAGAAGGACCTGAATAATACGGGTCACGAGAAATTAACAATGTTAAAAAACACACGGTACATCACAAATTTCAGTGATTAGCATACCATGGTTTTTTTTTGTTTATGCAATGACTGTGTTATGAAATCTTCACCATAAACGCCCTTGAATGATATCTGAAGAACAAGAATTATAGCACACATTGGTATGAAAAACATGACTGGAGTAAATAAATTGACTCTAACACAAAGTACTGGGATGTTCTACACTGTTTTGGGACTGCTTCAATCAAAACAAACGTTTCTACGTTCATGATGGCATTCAACTCAATTCTAGGGGAACTTCAAGATACATCAAAACAATAGATAACATAATAGAAATAATAAGTTCTCATGATGACTGTGCAAACTGTGGTGAACTTAACCATAAAACATCCTTCTGTAGATTTAGTATGAAAATTAAATGCTTCAAGTGTAATAGGTATGGCCACAAACTAAAATTTTGTATGGCTTGACAAAATGGCAAAGAAGAGAATGCCAATTCTACATCTGTTTCAAACAAATTTGATGTACTGACAATATTTATGTTCTGAATGCAATTTATTTTCATGCATGTGTAAATTATTTTCTTTGTCATCACAAGGGCTTTTGATTTCTGAGATAAAGAAAAACTAAGATTAATAGAAAAGCAATTAAAGATAAAATGCTTTGCTGAGCGCAGCCTGAAACGACCGCAGATGTCGAACCCTGAACAGTTGGGGCAAGTTTGGACACAATATTCATGCTTGATACTGTCTGAATTTGGATTGTGATAACATTTTTGACATAATATAGGTTTCTGACACAAAACAAGCATTCTGTGAGTATTGCCTGGCAATACATAGTTCCCTACCGGTTAAAAATTCATTCTACTGAAACACAATGCATATTTGATCTTTAACTTGTCATGGTGTAAACTAGATGACAAGTATCAAGTCAATATCTTCAAGCATGACAAAAAAAGTGAGGAAAATTGATTATTTGAGTGAAATTTCTAAGTCCAAGGACCATAACTCTGCACAAAATCATTAGACCGGACCAAAATTGATCTGTAACTTGTCATGATAAAACTATATACCAATCATCAAATCAATATCTTCAAGCCTGACAAAAAAAGTGCAGAAAACTGATTATTTGAGTGAATTTTCTAAGTTCAAAGACCATAACTCTGCACAAAATCCTCAGACCGGAACAAAATTTGAACTTGATCTATAACTTGTAATGATAAAACTATACACCAAATATCAAATCAATATCTTCAAGCACGAAGAAAAAAGTGTGGAAAACTGATTTGCCGGACTGACGGATGGACAGATAGACATCTGTGCAAAACTAAAGTCCCCTTCGACTTCGTCGGTAGGGGACAAATAAATGTGGTCAAAGATCTTAAAATTTGAAATGGGACATTCAATTTACCTAGAATGGTCTGATATCCAAAATCTTACAATATGGTTAGATTCAGCAAATAAAAAAACACCAATAATTTAATTTTTGAAATTAAACAAAGTTTAATTTTGGACCCTTCAAACCTTAATATGAACTAATTTGAAAACAGAGCCCAAAATAAAAATCTAAATGCACAATAAGATTCAGCAAATCATACAGCCGCAATAATTAAGTTTTTGATGAAATCAAACAAAGTTTAATTTTGGACCCTTTTGACCTCAATGTAGACCAATTTAAAAATGTTTATTTTTCTGAAACAATTCACTTTTTAAGAAAAAAAACAGCATTGAAATTGGGGTTATTGAAACAATGTGGTTTGAAATTAAACCAGATTATAAACAAGAGGCTGTCGAGTGACAGTAAACCGAATTTTCCTGCAGAGGTCGACCCTTAACAGTTGAGCAAGTATGGACACAACATTTAAGCTTAAAACAGCTCTGAATTTGGATTGTGATTGAATATTTGTAATAGATTATTATCTAATTAATAATGAAAATGATATTTGCAAATCTGAACCCCAAACAGGATCATGTAAAATTAAACATTAACACACACAACAAAAATAAAATACCACATACCAACTGTGACATCTACCTTCATAACACACATAACTTAAAAAAAATAGTTATAAAGAAATTTTGATGTTATCATTACTGGAATAAGTTTGAGTTATTTCCTTTGAACAGAAACATGGTTTAACATAGTACTCTAACATTAGATATGATTTCACTAAAATAGTTCTCTAAAATTAGATTTGATGTAACACAATGTATATCTATTTTCAAATTATAATCAAAGATAATTAACAGTTCCAAATATTTTTTCTTTCATTTGTCACAAACTAATATAGATCTGCAACTTATCTATCATTTTTATCTACACAATGTAATGTAATGAAATATATCCTTTAATAAAAATAGATTATTTTCCAATTAAAGGAGTTCACTTTATAATTTTTTTTTATATATATAGCATTCAGAAAATTAGTTTATACAGAATAACAAACAAACCTACCACAAAATTCTTCAAACAATTTACCAAAGAAAAAAAAATCCAAAATGTCATTTATCATTAATACAATGTCTTTTAAAAATCTTTTAAAAAATGAGTTATTTCCCTTTGTACAGAAATGGATTAATTCATCAAAAATTGAATTCTTGGGAAAGGGCTATAACTGAACAACGAGAAAAGCTTAAATCATGAAAATTGAACTTGACCTTCATTTAGTCACAGGAAACAACATATCTAAATTTGCGTTTTCATGTAAATAAACGGACACTGTTTGGCAGCTGCCCGCCCGCCGTACATCCCCAAATCAATAATCGATTTTTACTTCGAAAATCCGGTTAAAAATCCATTTTATTGTGTTTTGTATATAGACCACAAAAGTCACTGATAGATTGGGTTGATGATTTTGAAAAGGAAGTAAGAGTGGCAATAACCATGAATTCAGATATATCAATAATGGGTGACTTTAAATTCAATTTTAAAGCACCAAACAAACCTCCTCAAAAATGGCTGAATGTTTTAGAATCATACAATCAATAATGCAAAAATGGTACAGGAATCACATGTGTGTAGATATGCAATTAGTGACCATTATGCTATCTGTTTAACAAGGAAAGAAACAAATGTAGACAAAAAGAAAACACAGTACAATTACATATAGAAAATTTCAAATATTTCAACCAAAATGAATTTTTATTAGACCTGCAAACTACACCTTTTTACAAAATTGAATTTGAAGAGAATCCCACTGACTGTCTACAATTGTTTTATGATATGTTGAACAAGGCTTTAGATAAACATGCCCCTGTTGTTAAAAAGAGAGTTAAAAGGGAAAGGCAGCCTGAATGGTATAACAGTGAAATCATTTACGCTAGGAATATAGGAGATTAGTATAATGCACTTGTTTTAGGGAGTGAGTATAGATTTTGTAGAAATAAAACTAAACAAATCATAGATAACTCAAAAATGAATTATTATAAAAATATGGGAAAGGACTCCAATGACTCTAAAACTTTATGGAAATGTCTTCACAGTCTGAACCCAAAGATTAAAAATACACCATATGAGTAAGCCACAGAAGATAACAATACAACTAAAAGTAAAAAATCAATAGCAGATACTTTTAATAACTGTTTTCACTTCCTGTGCTGAAAAACTAAGAGAGCAAGGAAGTTATACACCTGTAGACATAGCAGATTTCAGTAATCTTGGTAAATTTAT